CTCCTGGACAGAAGAAGCTGGGCTGAAGAACACACTCATCACACAGAGCAGAAGCTATAGCTCACGTCAGAGGTTGCCCTCATGATGTTTTGTTGGCAAAACATTAATGATATCTCAAAATGTAAAATAAGAGATGCCATCATAGGCTTTTTCGAGGTATTTCTATTTTTCTTCTGTCATTTCCAAGGGAAATTTGTCACCACTATGCACCTTAACACAGCAGAGGAGAGTAATTACAAAGAGCTAAAGTATTCAGGTACAACGAGCTCAAAAGGCACATTCAGCATGTCCGTGCCCTTCAGCAGAATTCTGCATGTGCTTTTCTTAAGCTTAAACTGCTGAAAACAATCTGATATTTATCAGCCTTGTCAGCAGGGTTTACGGTGCTCTTCTGCTGCATCAAAATGCTGCAACTCTACAATTTCTACAAAATGTACTACTTGCTTGTTTCCATACTTATATTGCCCACTATATTGAATCCAATCCAAGCACTGTGTTCACCCCAAACAATAGCTGTCCTTGACGTTGTATTGTCACCTCAAAGCGATTACACTGCCTAACTGATCTTGACCTAATCAGCCCAACCGGTTAGGATGACAACTCACAGAAGAGTCGACCTATTCACTTGTGCCATGAACAGTCAGTCTACAGCTGAGGCATATAAACTGTAAAGTATATCAATACTTTGATGCTGTATGGGCAGGAATGCTGTCTGGCCAACAAAGAGATCTCTCCTTTCAGGCTGGCTAACCCACAATGAAGATACCTCAGCACTTCACAGGGGTCCTTGGGCTATACTCTGCAATTCAAGGCATGCCATGTTGTTTCAACCTTGCAAGGTTCCAGGCTGGTTATTGAAATCCATTATTAATCTTTAGCATGCCCGTAATCTTTCCCTGTGGCCAACCTCTTTCCCTTCTGCTTTCCTTTTGCTAGTTCATTATAGGTGTTCCTCATGGCACTTCCTCCCATACTTGGCATCCTTTGGTTTAATCCCTCCCCATTATTGACATAATTTTGACTCCTAAGTTTCAGTCATTCAGCTCACACTTTTATATAGAAGCTTCTAATTGTTCGCACATTTTCTTGCCATTATTCAGGTTCAGTACCTTACTCAAGGGAGACCACTGCTTCCGCGGACCTAAAACAGCCAAAATTGATTGCAAACACAGCAGCAGACCTTGTATCTCCCTTCTTGTTCTCCGGAGTTATTTTCTTCCTCACCAGGACTCCTCGTTCAATGTTTCTGAAATACTCTGTTCAAACATGTTGAAATATACTCTTTTGAAACAAGAACCTGTTTATGGACGATGACATTTAACCTGAAGGGCTCAGAATCGGATTCATTAACATTCCTGCCTTTATTATTTTTGTTTTGGGGAGATTTATTTATAAATGTTAACTGCACACGCAGACAAATGTTTGGATGCAGAATGCAAATGACGCCTGCACTTATCCCATGTTTTGTACAAAAGGAAATTATACTGTTTGGTCGGTATAAATATTTACACTCTCTTTTTAACTGACGTCCATCAGGGAGAAGAAAAACATTACACAACTAATGGCCTTTGAAGGCTGTATTTTAAATGATTCATGCATTTGACTTTGAATATAAGGATTTTATTATTTTTTAATAAGATAAATGCTAAATAAACAACTGAGTATTTCTAAGATGTAAAGAGGGATTTCAGTAATTGAATAAGGCCAGAAATGTGGCCTTAAATGTATAGGGAAAGATGACAGGATATATTGCCGAACATCACAGCTGCTTAGGTGAGCATAGATCTGCTCCCTGTTGTATTTCATTGCATTGTTTTTTTTGCATGTCTTATAAAACTGGCTGGTATTTTGTTCTGGAATTACTGGTAACATGACTGTGGCATCTTCCCTTCAGAAGGCACAACAAAACATGAGTTAGAATGTTCATAATGACCCAATGGCAAGAATGAGACTTTCAGACATGATGGGTGGGGTTACCTTACATACTCCAATCACCAGCTGGATTTTACCCTCTTCCCATTGGTTGTTTTGTTAAACCTGGCAATGATTGACATGTCACCATAATCCCACCCACTTTGGATTGCAAAGCCTCTACTCCTTCAACTACATTCTTCATACTGGCTTGTAGCACAAGCATCAAGAATAAAGTACTTAAATGTATTAATTAATTAAACTCAATACTCATTTCTGGTCCATGTCAGGACATTCTTTTATGAAAATTATTTTCATATTTATCAAATTTTCAGAAAAAGGAAGATATTACACGGCTGCGGACCCTAACCAGGATAAACGGTTGGAAGACAAATGTATATGTTTTCAGATCCTGCCCATTACCAAACTTTTCCACTGTCACATGAATAAATATGTTAAAGAGGCAAAATAATATATAACAGAATACTGTTAATTTATCTGCTGGACTGCCTAAGGGCACCGATACAGAGAAACGAGTAAAAACCTTTGTAATTTAACTCAGCAGACAACAGATTCCTCATGCTGGAATATTGTGAAATTCACAAAAGACCTCATGCATCTGAGATACCACTACTTGCCATACCTGTAGATAAATTACATGGTCCAAAACCTGCACGTAATTTATGAGAGTATTGTTAGAAAAAGGGACAGCTTGATGTCTCTCCAAAACAAATTGTTCTTTGGAGACAGACACCAAACGAGCGACCTGCATTTACATGTCAATGCAAACAGTTTGACCACCCAGTGCCCAACAAAATGGCTGCCGCATACCAGCCTACGACTGGGCCTCCCCATTGTGATGACAAAACAATGGAGTAAAGCTCAGATGTGGCGGGAGGCTGCCGCTGAGGTCCAGGGGCTCTGCAAACGGTGTGCTTGTCTCACGCACTTGCACACACACACACACACACACACACACACACACACAGACTGCTGTCTCATGCCAGCAGGTGATCCAATCAAGCCAGTGCTAAGAAAACATTGAGCGCATTAGCGGTTTCCAACTCTGGAGTTTGTTATCATTATGAGGATAATAGTTCTGGGCCGGATGAGGTGGTGTTGGGGGGGAGGATCCTAAACGCCCTCCCCAATGTATGCTCCCATTGTGAGTTAAACCCAGGATAGACAACCCTTCAAAATGCAAACTACCACTCAAAGCAATTGACTGACACACAGCTCAAAACAGCCACTGGAACAGGACCCTTTACAGGCAGCCTATCTGAGTTCGAAATTAGTATTACACTTTTTTAACGTGAACTATTGTTTTACAGTAAGATTATTTCTCTCCATCTCTAAGCGTGGAAGGCACTCGGGTGTTACATTCTCATACTGTGACTTTTTTTCTTCAGTTAATAACTTACCTGCTCCTGCCTTTGCAAAGCCAGAATTTTACCTGCCGTCATTAATCTTAATTTATTCACCAATGTCACAACACGACCTGCGAATTCCAAGCTAATTAAGATAAAATAAATGCCGCCTCAGAGGAAAACATGCCTTGAAGGAAGCCGTGTCTGAGACAGTCACGGACGGAGCACCTCTTCCAGGCCGACGCCCAACCATCGCGTCGCCAGTCAGATTCCTGGACTGCAGTCTGTGGCTAAGGTGACGACCTGGTCATGTGTAAAAATAGCATGGGCACCTCGCCCACCACCCAACATAAAGGTGGCAGAAGGTGCCCAGGCAGTGGCTCTTCAGGTTACCGGGAGGGCGGCTTCAACTGCAGCCACACCAAGCCATTTTTTCCATTTAACCAACAAGCACAAATTCATTCAGCCCATTGCACATTTGGGCAGGAGCATTTAAGCTAAAGATGGAGCGTGGGATCCCCCAAACCCCAGCGGGACGGTGTGTGGCTCAGTGGGTTTAGGCTGCTGTACCAGCAATCAGAAGGTTGTCAGTTCAAATCCTAACTGTTGGACCTCTTAAATGTCCGATTGCTCCAAGGACCCTGTGTTCTAAAAACAAAACTTGGAAAAAGTGGTGCTTTGAACAAAGGCATCCGGTAAGTAAATGTATTGGGGGGGGGAAATGGTGCCGAAAAACCCAAAAGCAGAGCTCAAGGGTGTGGTTCAGTGCCACAGGGGGAGCACGGAATAAATAGCACTTAATGACAAGGTACCGTGCTTTTCATTTATACAGCACTCTTCAGGAAGCGAAAGCAGCAGCTTAATAGGACTCATGAAGCATCGGATCAGAGCTGTTAAAAGGCACCCAGGGCTCTGTAACGTGACCTCGGTAACGGAGTCGGTGAGTCAGCCGGCAGCCCGGCGACACCACCGCGATTAGGGAGGGCCGAGCGGCGTGGTGAGCTGTGGCATCCTGACGCCAGGATAATGATGATGGCGGGGGGGGGGGGGTGTCGATAGAGTTCTCACGCTGCACAGGTTATAATGAGAAAACCACCCCTTCGCACTGGGAAACAAGGCAACGAGAAACCAAACACAGAAACACTGTGCCACTGTGTTAAAACATTACAGAATAAATTACAGCAGGCTAACGCAGCGAGGGAAAGCCCAACAGCCTCCTGCCCCAGCAATTTATTTTTGTCCTCTGGAGAGGACATTATGGTTTTTTTCCCTCATATCCTGAAGCATCACTAGAGATTTTGGGCCCATGAAAGTATACCATTTAGGGCCCCCAACCCAGACAAATCCAATTATGTTGCGAGTTTCTTACAGCCCCCTCTCTCATACTATACATGCCACTGTATTATGTGCTGTTGTCCCTTAAAGGGGACAGTTAGGGCTTTAAAATTAAATCACAATTGTGGGGTGTGCTTTTTAACCACCCAATCACCAACCAAAAAAACAAAAGAAAAAAAAAATCAAAAATCTTCTACGCCTATGTCTCAGGAGGATATTCAAACAAACATCCAAAATATGAGCAACTTGCAAATGCAGGCTCACATACTAACATAAGTGGGGTCCTTACTCTGAGTAGCTATTCAGACTGGTGCCCCATGCTGGCCTACCAGCAAATGTGGACCTCCCTCCCACCACACACAGCAAAATTACACAAGGCCACAAACATTTCTTATCCGACAAAAATATATATTTTAGATCTTTACATTAAGCAGAATCGAGACACACATGAGTGTGCACACCTACAGTAACACTGAATTCAATTTTATTCTCCTCAAAGTCTTTTTACCCTGGTCTCAGTGTAGATTTTCTTCTATTAAGCTTCTCTTAAAACAAACACCTACATTGTTCATGTTGTTTTATACAAAATGTGCAAATAAGAGACATATGGAATCCTTCAGCAATCAGTAAGAGTCCAGGATTCATTCCGGGTGTATAAAAAAAAAAAAAAAAAATCTCCCACCATCTCAAGTTAAATTACAGCTTCTTGTTGATTCGAGTCTTTATTTCAAGTAAAGTGCCTCACAGCAAACCACAAGGGCTGCCGTCTATTATTTAAAATTATCAAACAAAAAAAAAGTCAGAAGTGGTCCCAGGGCAGTCTGCTGTTGGGATCATACAAACTCCAGCTTCCCCTGGCCACTGTACATTCCCCAGTGGACCAACGACAGCATCCTTTCGCTCCCTGCGTCCGGCTGTCGCATCTTGTCGCAGCTCAAGCAGCAGTTCTCGTGGCCCGTCACCGGAACCATACACTCCAGGTCCAGCTTGGCTACGTGTCCCTTCTTGGCGTGGTGTCCGTGGAAACTGTAGTGCAGCCGCGAGAGCATCTGCAGCCGCTGGGCGCGCAGACGCTTATTCTCGCTGCGCAGCATGCGCAGGGCCAGCATGATCAGCAGCACCAGGATGAGGCCACCTGCAATGGGCACTGCGATCACCGCCGCCCGGAACCACACCTCCTTGGCTGACGCCAAGTCCTGCACTCTGGTAATCAAGTTCCTGCTGCCGTCTGACTGGTACCTGCTTCCGTATTCTAGAAAGGCATTAGAGAAAAAAAAGCACCAAGTATGAGACCAAAATCAAACCCACCAATAGCAACAAACAAAGTGATATTCACTTTACCACATAGCCTACGTGTTATCATGCCCAGATTACTGAAACATTTGCCTTAAACCACGGGAAACGTGCAGTAAGAATCATAAACATTACGCATAGATATAAATATATAAATAACCAATCTGTCAAGCTGCGGTATTTTGATATATTCTAATACTAATGTAAACAGAGTTCATACCCAGCGGATTACCCCATCAGTCCAAAATGCATCACTTAATAAATCCGAGAGCCCTGAATAACAGATTCATGCGCTTCCCGTAAAGTTCGCAAAGAGGGCAGGAGGGGACATTAAAAAGGATGACTTAGCTCGAGAAAGCTTTTTTTTTTATTATTAAGAAATGCCAAATATGATTAAGCCGTCAGAGCAAACAGCGGGCAATGCTGTGGTTACTTAGGCGGTTAAAAAGCGGGTTAAGAGATTAAGCGGCGATCCTCTACCTGAAGCGTCTCTGCCGTGCGCCAGGTCGTGCAGGCCGCGGTAATTGCACATGTCCTCATGACAGCAGTCCAGAGTTGGGGAGCTTGCGGTCATATCGTCCGTTTTAGAGGCGCAGGTTTCGGCCGGGGTGGCGTTTGAATCCACGCAGCCGTGGGTCAGCGGCGAATTCGTGTTTTGTGGGTCCAAGACTCGGGTGAAGCAAGCGTTCATTTCGGATTTGCACATGTAGCCAGTGGCCACGCAGTGTGGTGCGTCGCAGTAACACCGGATTTCTCCTGCAAATGAAAAATTAAAATAGCACTTTGAAGAAAAACCTTTTTTTTTCACTTTTAAAAGTCTGTGAGATTGCCCAGTGTCTGCATTGGTATTAACTACACCGATTTTACTATGATTCTTTTCAGCCTGAACAGGAGGAATCCTTGAAGGTCAATTTTCATAATAAGACACATATGTACAGTGCGTCTCAATTTTAATTTGATAATTCCCGAGCAAGCGCCAGCAGCTTCCGTATAATTAAAGTTCGTCAAATACACGTGCAGTTAATTTAGGCTACAGTTGTTCGGGAAAAGGTAGTTAAGTTTAACTATCGGTGTGCAATACTCAAAAGCAGTGCATATCGTCTACCAGAAATCGGTCAACGAGTTGTCCCCCAGAAACGTTCATTTAAACCGTGATTTATGGGATCGGAAATCAAATTATCCAAATGTCTCCGATTATTCACTAGCGGCTGTCGACTCGCCAGAAACAGCTACATGGCCCGAAAATGCCGGAAAAAAAACTTCATAATTGAAAAATACATGAGGTAACGAAATGTGCAGAGACGGCGAGCTATTACTTTAGCGATTTCCGTGCAAAAAGGTCCTTTTAGTCACTATTATAAAACAGAAACCGTGTAGCTTATAATTAGTGGTTTGTTTGCCAAAGCCAATTTCTTTAAATCCAAATGGAAACTCGTAAAAAGTGGAGCGAATGAGCCGCGTAAGGCTCCCTTTTCGTTTTGCACGCAATCAGCTCGCAGCCGAGGCTGTACAGGAGGGATCGGGCGCGTTGGGCTGACGGGTCGCGTCCGAAACGCTTTTATGAATTATAGGATTCAAAACACACACACACATACCAGTGGGGCCATGCTTTCTTACGATTCATTTAGTTAAAACACAGAATAACAGATGCACGTATGTTCTACGTTTTGTATTCTTCCTTTATTCTCTCTCTGAACTAGGCTATGTCCATTCTGCAGCTGATCTGCGGGTAACCTTACTGCTGTGATTCCACATAGGCTGATACCCACACACGGGCCTTTCACCGGATGAAAGGATGGTTTTAGTTTGGATTTATGAAAGGTTACGGTTTCATGTCCCGTCTGGACCCTAGACATGGGATGAAACCACTGAACTGAAAACGGTTACTAAAAACGAAATAATTATACAAACATGACATTTAAACGAATTGCATCTGTCTGGTTTTATTCAGTGGTTTTATCTAACTCTATCGTTATTAAATCCGACTGTCATGGTTGTTTTTAAGATGCGAACTTGCTATTTAATCAGGAGAGGAAAACTTCAACTTAGATGAACATGAAGCTAAATGTATATATATCCAGTCTTCAGCCTGTTCCAAGCACATCAAGGCAATTTCGAGAAGGTAACAGGAACCCTTCAGCCTGTGATGATTTTCTCTCTTTTCGAAACAGTATGGGAAAAGTTGCGCTTGACCTAAGCGGTAGCTTAGTTTATACTTTTTTCTTATTTTCATGTGAAAGTTGCATATAAAATTGAGACAAAATATAACAAATTGGATATCGGAAGTATTCGAATACAGAGATACATAATTTTGAATCTATTAAACATGAGAATGCAACCACTCAGAATAAAGGTGTGAAACAGATACAATATATTGCACTTAGATTAATGTTGTTTGAATGGGAAAACAATCAAGCAGTTTTGTTTTCCCAAGTAAACCTCAAGCCACCTAAAATCACGTTTGGTGAGCCAGTATATCTGTAACAATACACCAGAGACGAGTGAGAATAACTCCGAAAAGCGACTTTTTGGAGATGACCACTTCACGTTAATCATAGGTACAGATAAATGCTTACCTTTAGTTAGTAGAACAGCCATGGCGTAAAGTTCCAACTGAAACCAAATAGAAATGAAGCTGGAATGGCGATCCATTTAAGACACAAATATGCCTCCTATTCCGCTTTTTTTGGTCGCTTGGTCCGTAGCGTTCACCTCGTAATTATCGTTACATTAATACGACGAATACTAACGCTGGAGTTCCCGCAGGCAAAAACCTCCAGCAGTTTTTTTTAATCGCTTAATGGTTTTGCGCGTAAAACTACATCTAAGTTTACATAATCCAGGTATCGTCGCTATCGAGAAAGCCAACGCTGCTGGATACTACAAAAATGCATTCCATGCATAAGTGACGAGTAAAGACTGGGAACTGCCGCCAGGTGTAATATTTACCATGGCATGAATTTGCCTTTACTGATATAATAATCCAGAGAAGAAGCCGGCGAGCTCGTCAATGCTGCTAACGCCGCTGAAACAGCCACCAGCAGAGAAGACTTCACTGTTAAAGAAATAGCTGCGTCTTACTTTGCAACCTAACTATGGCCCCGCCCCCGATAATCCCATTGGATTATTTCTTAGACACGGAGGGGCAACTAAAACCATGATTGGTTACTGATGCGGTCAGACAGTCACTGATTCCGCTTATTTTGAATTAGAAAGGGGAACGGGGGATGGGGGTATTCTCTGTGTAATGCCAGGTACAATAATTATTTTTGCAGATGCAATGCGCATCATTCCTGTTCAAATTCGCCACCCCTGCAATCTGTAATCACAAACTCGTGGACAAAGTTATACAAGTCTGATTGATTCTAGTTTATCACATGCATAGTGGTATCGTAACATTAAGGCAGAACGTCTGCATTTTCACATAAATTAAAAATTGTTAATTTTGTTTAAGGCCAGAAGTGACCATCAGGTTTCCTTATGGACTGACTCAATTCCTACGTTTACTTTATCATTTTATCGTTGGGTGTATAGCATCTAAGCCGAGGGCAAAGGTGTCTGCCTTTCTGTGTCTGCATAAGATACCGATTTAACTGGGTTGTCGCGAATGGATGTTGTAGGCGGAGCAGGCAGGCGGTTAGTGAAATTAGCAACCCAAAACACCGCATGGCGCCGCCGAGACGACGCAGACAGAGACTGTCACTCAATTATCACCAAAGCAATCCAATGCAAAACGCAAGACAGTCTGATCGATATCAAAATGCGATCTGCTCAGTGATATGTTGATTACTTTATTAGAGTAAACCTAATGTCTCAAAGCTTGTAAAGGACCCAGGAAGAAGACAGAACACAATGAGGTTTTTATTTAATGTAGGTATGGTCTAAGATCGTCTAGCTACATCAAGACTTGAGCAAAGCAAACATGAAGCCAAGCAAAATAAATTCGTATTCAAACTGTGCTTGTTAGTATTTTAATAGGTTTACAGATGGTTAGTCATAGATGCTTTTACTCATATATGTATTTTAGCACATTTCAAATATCCAAAATGCTTATAGAAGATATATACTATCATTTTTATATAAATGTGAAATACTGAAGAAAATAATGTAACAGATCACAAGTGCCAATTGCGGACAATAAACTACACTCACTGGAGCGAATACGTTTCTTGCTTCCTTTATTATACTGAAGGATAATAAACGTATTATATGCTTACGTATTATAAACAAGAAATACTATACAGCCCCATTTTTATATATTCAGGCTCCCATAGACAATTAAAACTAATTTATAAAGCCTCTCGATATGTTTTTTTCATGTTGATTCATAAACACACCCTTGTTGTTAATTGTTCTTGCTTTGTCCTTGCATGCCTATAGTTGTTTTCACCAATATTACTGCTTAAATTACGCGTAATAGATAGATGGTCGTCACTGTGATGTCAGACGGGTTGAAGACAGCGATTCCGCTCCGGGGGACGCAAGCGTACAGAAATAACGCTGGATAGGCGGCAATTATTGTAATTGTATGTAATGACGCTCAGGCGCCAGCCAAGAATCTGCTTTGCATCATCCGCCCAACCTCTTCAACTAAACCATACTTTCTTTTTCAGTCGGGCTCCGGCAAACGCCCGCCTTTCAGAAACCTTGTTTGCGTGTAGCCTGTCGCTGTTTCCTCCACTCTTCACTGTGTAAGGGCGAACAAATACTAGGCTGCTGGTTATCAGCAGTAATCTCGGCGCACGCACAGGCGGCTGTATAGATCACTGTCAGCTCCTGATAGTACAAGTATGAGATTCTTGTCTGAAATTACATGTCTTCCCTCCTACAATTATCTCCCATGCCCCCTTTTAAAACTGCGTTTTTAAAATTCTCGCTATCACGAAACCGGTTAAAGCTGATTCATACGTTTTCGTCACGTGAAAGCGACCCGGCAATTATCCACTTTTTACTGCTTTTGAAATCGAACCAGTTTAGGTCGCATTGTTTGGCAAGTTCATAAACATTTGACCATATTTATATATTCATTTATATGTCGAGTTCGGTAAAAGGTTAGCATTTCTTTTATAAGTGGTGATAAATGTCCTGCAAGTCTTCCCTTCAAAGCTCTTGAATTTAAGGGCCATTTCGGACGGCCTAGCTGTGGTACGACTGGATATTGACACCTAGAGGCAAGAAACGGAAGTGCGCGTTGGATCTGTTACAAATTGTTTTTAAATCAATAACATTTAAATAAATAAACATTTCCTACCCGACGTAAAACTGTGCAGTATCGTGTTTTAAAATGCATTCTTAACATTTAATCATTTAATCTGTACAAAGTTGATGAAACCTTTGCTGGTGCGAGTCTTTTTGCACTGGAGAGTGAACCTTAGCCCACAAGTCAGCCAGCCATTAATAAAGGTGTTAGAGGGCCACTCGTACTGGGAAATGCCGTCGTCTCTATACGGCGTGTAATTGCCGCCATAAGACCACTTCAAAGACTGGGAAGGGAGGATCCCTGCCGGGAACGGCTTGTATTCTGAGAGGCAAATTAGGTAGGCGTGAATAAGGACACATCACCTGAGACGGGCGCCCATGGACTGAGGAGGGCGCCAGTAGCCACACCCGCAGACTCGGACTGGAGCTTCGGCAGATCTCACATCCCCCTCCACCACGGTTCAGCCCAGTCGACAGCAGACAGCCTCTTTATGTCTTTTCTTTTTCTATAGCTTTGAAGTGGAATATCAGGTTTGTGAAGGGGTGGGAAATGTTTGAGAGCCACTTACTCATTGACCGTGTTTTTTTGTTATGTTTAGTTTTTTTTGCTCCGTTACAGACTCGGCCCAGTGCTCAACCAATTTTCAGACCCTCGATTTTTCCGTAAAAATAAAACAGAATCTACCGTGACACATGTACGATGGAAAATCGTGGCTCCTCTAACAATTAGGCTTAGTTAAAAAGAATTCACTGGAAAGTAATGTTAAATTCATCAGTGAAACTAAAATGTCATCTTCTATAGGATGAGTTCAGCAAAAATGGGACATCGGGTAACGTGGGACATTCAAGCTTTGCCCTATGCTATATATATAAACAACAACAACCAATGAAAACAAACTGCTAAAATCATGCTACAACAGGACTTGGTCTTCAACAACGGTTGTCATTGGTGTGACATATTTATGATGGTGTGTTCAGAATTTCAAGACACGCTGTGTAGTGCAACCGCACGGAAAGTGGACCGACAAACGAAATAACTCTTTCGAAAGATAAGGCTGCTAGAAGTATATTTTATGGTATATTGTTTAAGATGTTGTATTTTAGTGAAAGGTGGCAGGAGATCGTTTAAAAAATAAAGCATATTTTTGAAAAAATATATTAGTTATTTGTTTTGACTTTCGTGGTGTCCTTTTTTTGCTGAAGGTGCTAGTAAAAGTAGGACAGCATACTTTTCAGGTAAATTGGAACACATTTTTACATGTAAATAATTGTAGATCGGGGGTGCCCAACAGTGTTTCCAGGTAAATCGCGATACGAGAAAAGAATAATACTTATAATTTCATTGGTCAATCGCGATGGGCCGAAAACACGGACGGAATAATACGACACCCCCCCTCCGCAAAATATGTTTCATGGAGATTTAAAGACACTCGTGAAGTGAAAAAGAAAACAATTACTTATTTGAAATAGTTGGATCTTGTTAACAAAATGTTACAATGAATTTATTTATGGTTTGTTTTCTTGGCCAATAAAATCATGCATTGTGCAATTTAAGTATATGTTACTACTATACAAAAAAAAAACACTGTTCCTATTTCCTAAACAAGCTCATTAAGAAATGATTGGTGCCTATTTATGTTTTATCCCATTTGACTCTTAAATATTACACAGACTGTGTAAACGTCCACACAAAACTTTTTAAGGAGACATGCAGCTATTAGAAAAAAAATATTAGTTTGAACAAATGGCTTTCATGAGATTTTCCTAAATGATTTACCAAAAAGTGTCCCACTTTTACATAGTTCACCCTACCTAAATCTACCTAAACCAATTTACCTGACCTATATATAGTTGCAACTTGTTTATAAGAACAGGATATACAACTAATGCGGTAATATGTAAAATATTTAAAATATTCTTCGATGGTTAACAGCGAAGATTCAGATTTTGTGATTTTGCAAAATTAAAAAAACCCCAACTAAATTAGCGCACCACCAAAATGTACTAACATAGCGTGCAGCTTAATCTATGACAATTGCTGAAGTCGTGGAAAGTGATTTAATATTGTCTAAAAGCCCGTGGGCGTATTATACAATGTAGGCCTACACTAAGGAAAATATGCTACTTAATTTTGCATTTCTTACTTATGGGTGTCGTACACCATCCAGAATGAAACGGCCAGAGGCGAATTTCGACCGGGATCCGGTCCACGACTGAATCGCGCCCACTAGCGTTAAATCTAATATACACCGCGGCCAAAAGTTTTGAGAATGACACAAATACTAATTTTCGCAAAGTCTGCTGCCTCAGTTTTTATGATGGCAATTTGCATCCATAATGTTATGAAGAGTGATCTGATTAATTGCAATTAATTGCAAAGTCCCTTTTTGCTATGAAAATGAACTTAATCCCAAAAAACCCATTTCCACTGCATTGCAGCCCTGCCACAAAAGGACCTGCTGACATAATTGCAGTGATTCTCTTGTTAACACAGGTAAGAGTGTTGACGAGGACAAGGCTGGAGATCACTCTGTCATGCTGATTGAGTTAGAATAGCAGACTGGATGCTTTAAAAGGAGGGTGGTGCTTGAAATAATTGTTCTTTCTCTGGTAACCATGGTTACCTGTAAGGAGACACACAGAGTCATCGCTGCTTTGCGCAAAAAGGGGCTTCACAGGCAAGGATATTGCTGCTAGTAAAATTGCACCTAAATCAACCATTTATCAGATCATTAAGAACTTCAAGGAGAGAGGTTCAGTTGTCATGAAGAAGGCTTCTGGGCATCCAAGAAAGTCCAGCAAGCACCAGGACCGTCTCCTAAAGGTGATTCAGCTGTGGGATCAGGGCACCACCAGTGTAGAGCTTCCTCAGGAAGGGCAGCAGGCAGGTGTGAGTGCATCTGCATGCACAGTGAGGCGAAGACCTTTGGAGGATGGCCTGGTGTCAAGAAGGGCAGCCACTTCTCTCCAAGAAAAATGTCAGGGACAGACTGATATTCTGCAAAAGGTACAGGGATTCGACTGCTGAGGACTGGGGTAAAGTAATTTTCTCTGATAAATCCCCTACCCGATTGGTTGGGACATCCAGAAAAAAGGTTGTCCAGAGAAGAAAAGGTGAGCACTACCATCAGTCCTGTGTCATACTAACAGTAAAGCATCCTGAGACCATTCATATGTGGGGTTGCTTCTCAGCCAAGGGACTGGCCTCACTCACAATTTTGCCTAAGAACACCGCCATGAATAAAGGGTACCAAAATATCCTCTGAGAGCAACTTCTCCCAACCACCCAAGAACAGTTTGGTGATGAACAATGCCTTTTCCAGCATGATGGAGCACCGTGCCATAAGGCAAAAGTGATAACTAAGTGGCTCGGGGAACAAAACATCAACCGCAGACTTTAATCCCATTGAGAACTTGTGGTCAATCCTTGAGAGGTGGGTGGACAAACATAAACCCACAAATTCTGACAAACTCTAAGCATTGATTATGCAAGAATGGGCTGCCATCAGTCAGGATTTGGCCCATAAGTTGATTGGCTGCATGCCAGGGTGAATTACAGATGTCTTGAAACACTGCAAATATTAACTCTTTGCATAAATTTTAATGTAATTGTCAAAAAAAGCCTTTGACACTTATGAAATGCTTGTAATTTTACTTCAGTATACCATAGAAACATCTGACAAAAAGATCTACAAACACGGAAGTAGCAAACTTTGTGAAAGCCAATACTTGTCACTCAAAACTTTTGGCCACGACTATACATTGCGTTTGTTTCGTTGGAATTCAAGTAGAAATCAGTTCTGAATAGCTGGCCAGGGCTAGTATGCGCTGGTCTAGATTAGTAGCAGTATCATTTATCGGCGGGAGCAATATAATTGTTTGCTTAACGGAGCTAAAATAATGCCGTCATAGGTTTTCGCTTTAATTTTCCGTAATTCTAAACGATTTACACCTTTTACTCTTTAGAATCGCCCCCTTATATAAGTAAAAGAATTGCGATAGGTTCCACAGAGCTGATCGTGGTTATAACAGGTCCATTTGCATTGTTTATGTTAAAGAAAGCTTATATAAATGAATTTTGACAATTTCACGATACCTTTACGGGCGAATGGTATCATGCCGTAAAATAAAAACATGCAGCTTCCTTTAATTTGTTTTAATAGCGGGCGATCAGCCGGCTCCATGATCATGTCAGTGGCGTATTCCAGTTTTCCTCAGAATTTTAACATTAAACTTCAGTTAAAAACCAGCGTGTAACCTGAAACTCCGCGGAAAGGCAAGAGTTTAATTCCGATCGCAAAATAATGTATCTGATATATTTACGGGATAATTTCTGCTGTTTGGATTAATAGGCTAATTACTAGCACATTTATGCGTAAAGCGTAACATTACTTTGCGATGAGGTATAACTTGATGTAATTCCCTTTCATGTAAAAAAAAAAAAAAATCAGTGATCATAAAGTCCGGCCTCAGCATGTCTGCGGGTCTTTGACCACGACCCTTAACCCCCAGTTCCCTGGGCGCTGCTATGGGTGGCTGCCCTTCGCCGCCAAGCAAACTCTCACCATCAGAGAGCAGGTTGGGGGAGGTGTAAAGATTCTCTCTCCACGGGGATCAATAAAACATCTATAAAAACAGTTTTGCTTAAAATCTACTACGGCTGCATAGGTATTTCACAGACTTCATTTAAAATTTCACCTCTAAATAAAAATACGCTACAAAGCAAAGGACAAAAAAGTAGGAGGGAATAAAATTGAAACCCGTGGTAGCATATTTTTTTATTTTTAATATACTTTAGGAAACAATATACAAAGCCGAGCTTCTCCACTAATTTCTGAACAGCGGTGTACAGTCCAACCAGACGTAGGCTACTCGTGTGTTTGATGCTGATTTGTGGTCAGTTGTATCTTGAGTCACATTTACAAATGCCCCATTCGAGAAAGAAGTTCTGAGCAGGACGATAAAGCTAAAGACAAACACAAAACAGTGCGATGTCAGGTCAGGCGCTTTCATCCCGCCGTCATTTTGCGTACAAAAAAAATTGAACAGAAAAAGTTACGATACTCAAGAAATATGGGGAATCAAATTCAGAATGGGCTCTGCAGTGCGAAAACCTGACCGCTTAAAAACCCCTGCTCGCTTTACTTCACCTTATTACAATACAAACTAAACATCTGCGTCCTCACAAAGCTAATAGGCTATCGAGTGTAGCTTGATTTTAAGTGACGGATCTGTCCGGGGTGTCTCCAGTGACCCCAGTACGCCAATAGAGGGCGAAAGGGACCAAGTGTCGAAATAATTTAACTTCAATAACATTTTATCCCATTATTAATTGTAGCAACTGTACAAAGGAATGAAATTTCGTTTGACCCAGAGGAGTCAAACAATCGTGTATTAAAGAAAAAACTCTCAAACAAAATATCCCTAAAGAGTGGGAGTGTTCAGGCCAACAGCACCCTCCCACACAGGGCTGAGATCTGTGCTCTGAGTGTTCAGGCCAACAGCACCCTCCCACACAGGACTGAGATCTGTGCTGTGTTCAGCACAGGCGGGAGCAGGGGCAGCTTTGGGAATGCTCCTCACTCCTGAGTTACAAATGTACTGCTCCAGTGAACACTGGGGTGTGGGGAGGGGGTCCCATGACTTCAAACCATTAGGCACTGGTTTTATTTCTAGGAAAATTCTAGCTTGGTGGTCGGATGCATTTCTGAGCCATTGCTACCAGGCATCAAGTCTACCAAAATGGTAATTGGGGGGGGGGGGATTATCCATCATGGCCATCTGAATAGGAGATGGGAGGAGTTAAAAAAACAAAAAAACAAACTGGAGTCCTGTCAAAGGCAGCGAACAGATAGATTGTTTAATAGTTATTAAAAAGATGAGCCAGTTTCAGAGACGCCATAAGTGCTGCACAGCTCGCATGCAGCTGCTCACGCAGACTCCAGGCAATGGTTCACAGACCTACTGACGAAAGCGCAACATCTGCAGACAAGTTAACATGTAGAAAGGCTATGCATTTAGCCACCAGAGCGCTGATTAGTTTGGGTGTCAAAGCTGAATTCGCATGGGTTTTCATGGCTTCACTCTACAAAACATATTTACAACATGAATACATCCAAAGGAAGGAAGGGGGAACAAACTAAATGGAGGGCTTCAGAAAGCATATTACCACCCCCTCTGCTAAAGCCACCCTTTCCCTGTGGCCCAAGCCCCACAACCCAGCCCACCCCCCCACCCCCCATCCCAGCCCAACGGTCCAAAGCCGGCACAGTGGCTGCTTGAAAGTGTTAAGACCGGGCTCAGAACACCAGGTTCTGAGGCTTGGAACACCAATCTCAGGGGAGGGGTGGGGGTGGGGGGGGTCCAATACGCCATGTGCAATGTCTTCTGCTCCTCCGGGGTCTCAGACCATAAAGGAATTCTGGTTCTTCAGCTTTTCAAGTTCCTTAATTTGCTGTCTCAAAAATAATATCCTGTGGGCAGGGGGACAGGTGACGGGATGAGAGGCAGGTTTTTACCCACCAAGCATGTCCAAAATTCTCTCTCAAAAACAACAATGGCCACAGCATAAACAAAAATCAATTTTCATAGTAAAAACTGGCAATATGACACATTCCACCAGTGCAGATATATGTCATTTTTCATATAAAGCATGCAGGACAATCGGCTGCACTGGGCATTAAACTCAGATGAAAGCTTTTTAAGCTTTCTGCCTATTTACAGACAGACTAAACACACCAGATGGGAAATAATCAGCATCTGTGCCCACATTTCATTATGTGACCTACCTCTGCTCGCGTAATGTAGCCTGGATTTCACAAACCCGAACTAAGGACCGCAAGTTTTTCAGCTCTGTGCAGTTTTCGGACATGTAGATGCTGCCCATGTTGTGAGCCTCTTCGCGTAATCTGGATGCCTGGAGAGAAGAAATGTTAACGTTTTTTGGGGGGGCGGAGGGAGGGGCATCAGCAGTGTGCAGAGATGCTGGAGGTGGATGCGGCACCTAACCTGCTTCTCCGCAGCGTCGGCCGGCCAGCCCTGGACGTGTTTGATGAGATTTTCATTGAAGTGAGCCACCAGAGAAGGCGTCAGTGAACACACGGGTTTCACAGGGACGTCGGGAGCTACGATGCTCACACTGTTGCTGCTGCTGCCACTAGCGATGTGGTCCAAGCCCGGGGAGGGACTCCTCTGGCAACTGGATGGGAAACAGGAGGGTTTCAGACCACATCCCAGCAGACAGAGCTCCCAACGCTAACCAACTGGACCTGCTTGTCATTCCACAATGGGCCAGCAGATGGCGATATAATACAAGGCATGAGGGAGGAAACGCGTAGCGGTTCCTTGCAGCATATTGGAGCATTAGCATGAAAGCGGTTACTACAGCTGGCTAAATGATATAAGATAATATTACATAATCAACATCATATAATCCAAGGTTGCTACCACTGCATCAGAGAATCCGCAGAGGACACGGCAGCAGCGGTTCACCTGTGCCGCTGAAATGTGCGTGGGGAGGCAGCTTCGTGCCCCGGTTTCTCCACGCTGACAGGCGGCTGAGATGCCGGCACCACCTGTGGAACCGGTCCCGACTTCGCTGCCGGCGTGCTAACCTGGAGGGTCACAAGGGGGCGCACTGTCAAACTGGACGCACGATAACGGAAGGAGGCGGCCGGCCGGCGCGGCATTAGCCTCACCTTAGGCTGCGACGACACGGGAGGCGTGCTCAGCACGGGCTTGGGAATGGTGTTCGTCTGTGGCGTACTTATCCGCGGAGAGACGTATGACCTCGGCGACGAGGCGTCAGACGTTAGCGACATCGGAGACTGACTCGATTGCTGGGCTGTTTCATGGGCCCAGAGGGAAAAGGGTGGGGTGTGAAATTAACTGCATTCATAGTGGATAAATAAGATGACAACCAATTGCAAGGCGTATTAAATATTTATAGTTTTCATTTGCAAGACCTCCGTAAAGGATCTCCGTCAAATCTTCAAAGAATGGATATTTTATTTTTGAATACCATACCTAGGTAAAAGGAATAGGTTAAGTAGCTGTTAGCTCTAATACTAAGTTTGCTGTTAAACTGTGGGAAGAACATCAAGAGATGCACTTAGGATGAACTTTGCTGAGTAGAGCAGGTGCACAGTGGAGCCCATTGTTTGGATGCATCCATGAGTTAATATGTATGTTGTACTGAAATGATTTATTAAAAACGAAACCTCAAAACACACCAAACTGGTGCCTCATAGCCACACTGCACAACAACCACAAAGTTCCACCAAATTGACAACCTATAACAACGTCGAAACAGCATGGAATTTTGGATAGAAGCTCTTCAGTCCAGCACCAAAGAACTTAATGGGGTTCAAATTGCATCCAGTACCTTGTGTAGACAGCTGTGCAGCTTGCGAAAGCAGAGGGGTGATGTTGAAGGCAGATGGTCCAGCTGTGAGGATCTTATGAAGCATTGATTGCAGTGAAGCTTGTGTGACCGCAGCTGTAAGGACTACAAGGAAAGGAGGGAGGAAGAGAAGAGGGGAAAAAAAAAAAAAAATGAAAAATTACATTGTAATGCTGGTTGGGAAAATGGACTGAACCACTGGGTCACCTCAAGCAGCAAAGAGGGGGACTATACTCCCCCCCCCCACCTCGCAAACTGATATGGATCAGCCCTGAAGCACTCTCCTTGTAAGCTGAGCTGGTCCCACACCTGTTTCAGGTTCACACAGACATGCGGATTATAAGCGGCTTGACGTCCTTCACCCTGCAGAATGGTGAGGCCGGCTCGCAAACGCCATCCCCCCTGAGCTCCACACCGTCCAAGGTTCTGTCAGCGCCGCAACGTCAATCCAGCAAGTCGCATGGATGGGCTCCTGCACAACCTGTCATCGCCATGAAACGGAATACTGGTGCGCCACCGAGTCCCATGGCCCGTGCTCTCTGCCGGGAAACTCGGGTCTTCCAAAGGGGGAAAAGCAGGCCAGCAGATACACGGTGCAGAAACCAGCCGGAGAGGAGCAGCCTTCTGAGAGGCTCCATTCCATCCTGCTGCCACGTCAGAGTCAGACGACGGGAGGCGAGAGCCATCGCCGTCAGCCCTTCCACAAACACTCCATGCTCAGGCCTACGCTGCAGGTAATTCTACTGTACTTCACGCAGCCGAGTACCAGTTAAACTTATAACAGTACTCCAGCAAAATCCCTTCCCAGCACAAGAATCTGGAGCCTACTGATTTGAGGCCTCATACTTCTACATTGACCTTCACCTGAGCTCTGTAAAAATGTGAACAAAAGGCATAAAAAACCCAAGTAAGAGTGACAATTCACAGGCTACAGGTCATTAACCTGATTAACCAACTCATCCAAAACATTCCAAACAGATACACAATCTTGACTCTGAAGAGGAGAACGTAGCTTTGAAAAGTTGCTCCAACTGAGAACCAGGTGACTACCTCACCGCTGGAGAAGATTTAGCATGATTGTTTTTTTTTATTATTTAAATTTCAGACTAGAACAAACATGCCAAATACAACAGATTTCACTGTGCTTGGGACTTAGACGGCTTTACCATCTGAAAAAATAAACAGTATGTCAACTGTAACCTCAAGCTTAAAATGATTAATCACAAGAACTGGATAAGCATCTTAAATATTCAATTTTGAGGCATATTTTTTCCCCATTGTCAGGCCACACCAAGTCACACCATGGGGATTTGTTTCCATCTGACAAAGCGTGAGGATTTCAACCCAATTCCATACCATAGAGAAAATCCAGTCATTTATAGGTATTAAAAATCAACAGTCCAACACCCCTGGATCTCATTTTAGGTGCATAGCTCATAATATATTTCACACTTTTTCCCCCACACTAATTTTAAGGAATGGGGTGTTTAGGGCACTTTACTATAGCAGAACCCATCTAGCTGGTGTGCATTTTCTTGAGTTTATTGCTATTGGAATAAAACTGGATGTTATTCTGTGCGATTAGTTAGCACTGTCCATAAATAGGTTAAACGTGGCTCATTTTGAAGGAGCAAAGGCGTGTCACCACCTTACAGCCGACACCCGAGAGCAGTTTCCAGGTTGAAACAAAAAAACAAAACCAACTGGTTAGCCTTGATCTTGCTGGCACAAATCTGGAAAAACAGCAATAGTAAACCTGAAGTAACTCATTTCATGATTTTGCAGAAGAACAGGGGGGCGGGAAGATTTCAAAGGGGTGTGCACGATGAAGAAAAGGCACACATTTCCTTTTAAAGTCTAAATGTCAAACACGGATCATTCACAAAGCGCCGTCCAATCCCTGCACCAGACAAAACAGGTAGAAAATGACTCAAGATATCAACTGAGCGTGTACATCTCTACTTTTAGGCTTCCATAAACATTTTCAGATACACCTAGAGAGCCACATAAAGAGCTTCTCTACAGTGGAGTTTACCCATTATTGTAGGAACAGGGTAGTGACGGGGGGGGAATGACTCCACAACACCTATTCATACACGACCAGCATTAAATGGACTCTCTGACACAAAACACTGCTTCCTTTCATCTGTGATGTGCTATAAGGCTCTCACTTCATTCTACTGCAGACTGCTTCTCTGCAGTATAAGCCAGAGGCCAGGACTGACACTGTAGATGATCTAGTGGACAACTCACATTCACACAGGTGCAAGGAGTGGTATGAGTCATGTGTCAGGGTGAGATGCACGATAAAGACTTGGAACCCCAGGACAGGCAGCAGAGAGCAGGTCAAACAGCTCAGTAAGAACAGATGGAGGCGAGGCAGGGAGATCAAGGAGGCAGCCAGGGGAGGGAGGCTAGGAACCCGCCTCCCACTAAAGCCCACCGACTCGGTCCATCCCTGGAACTGCAGAGGGCGGGCAGCACAGTGGCTGCTGGCAGCTGATGGTGAGTCATACCCAGCTATTAGAAGCAGCCCAAAAAGCACAGAAAGTGGTGGCATCAGACACAGCCACGCTTGGAAAGCGAATAGGCCCCCGAGGAGACGCCAAACAAGCCCACCTTGAAATCTGATGGAATTACAATGAGAGAAAGATCTAGACCTTCTCACTGGACCTCTGCTCAAAACAAGCCAGTCCCTCCCGGGCTTGAAAATCGGTACAGGGTTCCCGATCTCATTGGCCTTTTAAGGGACAGAAACTCAACCGGAAGCTAGTGCTCAGTAGGTATCTTCTGCACATACAGATGAGTGATTCAACTACAACCCAGACCAGCCAAACCATTTGGAAACCAGGTTATGCAAAGGGGCCAGGAAGCCCATTTCTCGGAATTCCTTTAGCTCAGTTTGGTCTGGCATCCCTAGATCTGCATCCCCTCCAACAGCAGTTGGTCAACAGAGCGACACGTGGCGAGTGAGCCAGGACGAGACGGGCCCTACCTTCACTGATCTTGGACATGTCCACGCTGGTGTTGTTTAGCTGCAGTGTGGCCTGAAGTGCTGGCAGCAGCTGGCGCAGGATGTTGGGGTCCTGGAGGAGCGGAGGCGGCGCTGCCGGGGACTGGGGGACAGGAGAGACGGGCACAGTGGGGGCTGACGAGCCCTGTGGGGCGGCTGACGGGTTCAGACCAGAAGCGGGGGAGGGTTGGGTGCTGCAGGGGTGGGTCGCTGGCTTGTCTACCGCAGAAGATTCTGTGTAGGATGGGGGAATCTATGTCAACCTGGGAAAATAAACTGTGGCAGACTGGGGGGGGGGGGGG